CTGTACAATGACGTTTCATTCAGGCACCCTGTAGATAAGAAGTGTTTTCCCATCCCCCGACAGATATTTGCTACTGTTAATCCCATCCCCCTCCCCCCCATAGTTTCCCAGTACCATCCGTCATTTTCTCATAGTATTGCATTGGATGTTCAAGGTCCATTATATGAGTGAGAACATGTGATATTCGGATTTTTGTTTTTGTGAGAGGTCACTCAGTATTATAGACTCTAGTTCCATCCAGGTTGCAGCGAAATTCATGATTTTGTTCTTTTTTATGGCTGCGTAGTATTCCATCGTGTATATGTACCACATTTTTTTAATCAAAACCCCTCTTCTTTCTGACTCAGCTTCTGGCAACCACCAGTTTCAGTCATTTAGTAGAATTTTAAGTTCCGGGTCTAAAACTCAGAAGTTATTAGAACTTCCTCTCATTTAAAAAATTACTAAATGAGCAGATGTGCCGTGGGGAATGCCCCTCCTTCTTTTGGTTGTCCTGCCACAGCTTAGCTCAGCCTCTCTCCCCATCTCTTCCTGAAAGAGGAATGCTTCTTTTCTTTCCCATAGGGACTTCAATTCAACCAACTCAGTCTAAGAATCTCCTCTACAACATTCTGGCAGCATCTGTTTGAAAACTTATTCTGAAAGGGTGTTTTCTTTGAGAATGTTATGCCTTACTTGGGTTAGACTTATCTTCCTACATTTAGCAAAGATCAACCATTTTGCAGCTTCCATCAGTCGATCTAAACTGGCCTTCTGGAGCTACACAGAAGAAGTCCACCTGCTCTCCAATTTTAACATCTCTTGGCTATTTGGAGAACTGGTCCTCAAACCTCTAAACCTCTTTCTTTTTGCCAGACACCCTCCGGTCTTCTTCTGCCTCAGCTCTCATCATCTTGGTCACCCTCTGAGAGGTCTGACTCCTACTGGGCTAAAACCCCTTCATAGGAAATTAGGGACATTTGTTGACTTGAAAGATGTCCAGAGGCAGACAACTTCTTGATGAATGCTTCAGGTAACCTGTGTCTCTCCACAGAATTATGCTTTAAAGTTGTCTGAAAATTTACAACAAGCATAGGGGATAAACTTTACTAAAAGTCCAACCAGTATCTCCACTTCTCAGTCCCTACTGAGGAGGAATTTATTTAACTAACCAAAGAAGGAACTATGCATGATCAGCTCTGTCTCTCTGAGGCCCTGTCTTTTGGGTTTGCCTTCCATCAAATAGGTGTTTTCAGGCTCTAAGGTATGAACATTCCCTGTATGGGAAGCCTGTGGTTTTCTAGATGTGCACCCAAATGGATGGGTAGGTAAGTCTGCCTAAATCCACTAGAAAAGTCCAAGTCATGTCCTTCAATTCAGCTTTTGCTGGCTACTGATCCCTGACTCCTGTGTCTTACTTTCAGTTAGTGCCAAACATAGGAAAAGAATCCAAGAATATTATTTTTTCACTTATAATTTCTAAAATAGAAAAGCACATTCCACAGAAAATAACACTACCAGATAATTTCTACTAACAATAAGAGGGAGAGAAGATTCTCAACTCCTTTTCTGCAAATATTTCAATTTATTCATTAATGCTCCCCATTAAATATGTTTGTTTCTAGAATTTATTTACTTTCCAGATGGTAAGTAATCAGTGGAATCATCATCTCCTCAATCTATATGTTTTTGTTAAAGTGACTGCATTAGTCATGTTTTGTTTTCATAAGATTCACATGGGACCACAGATTCATACTGAGTTTATGGTCAACTAAAATTTCCTGTATCTTCTGTCCATTCATATCATTGATAGCAATGAGCTTAGAACAAAGCCAGATTATCTCTCCAAGGCAGACTGTCTTCCAGGCTGATATTGATGAACTACTTAACACTCCTAGGTACAATTATAACTGGCCTAACTCTCATTCAGGTCATATTTCTCCACTTTTCTTAGAGGATATCATGAGTGTGTTTATTAAATGACTTCTTGAAATCACAATAAATTATGCCTATGGCATAACCTAGAATTACCCATTAAATAATCATTTTAGCAAACAAAATAAGGTGAAGTTAATGTATGTGTTTTTCTGAGTAAATCCATTTGGCTCTTGGCACTTTTGCCTTTATTCTCAGGTGCAAATAATGAATGTATTAAATTATTGCATATACCCCAAAACTATGTACGTCTATTATGTATCAATATAAAAGTTTTTTAATGCAATAAGTTTTCCATTTTTAAGACATTATGGAATTTTACAGAAATGTATCTTAAAACTCACTGAGCTATTCCTAGGTCTATCTAGTTTTTATTTATAAAATGGTATCCAAACATTTACACATACCAACTATTTTTTCATATTTCCACACCATAAAACCATCTTTGCTATTAGAAAAAAAAAAATGTGTCCATATGTTTCCTGAAAGGAGTAAATAAATCTATGTATCTAGTACAGACATGGCATATTTGCATGAGTCTGATGAGTTCTGGCAAAATAGCAGGGAAACTTTTTATTTTCCTGTCTTCTAGATATATGAATGACCTATGATCTTGTCTTTAAGTTCTCTAATCTTCTCTGTATACTTTACCCCTTACAGATCTCACCTATTCATATCTAATGAACAATTAACTTTTAATTAATCCTGAACCTATAGCTTCAGGTCTTATTTCTGTCAGGATTTCTGAACTTTCATTTCCACAGATTTAGACATAATCATGTGGATTTATGATCACTGCCATGTAGCCAAAGTGTCTGCAAGGGAGATTATAATAATATTCTACATCCATCCAACTAAGTGAGCAGAACCCATCCTCAAAGTACATAGAACAGGGAACCATCTATGTGGTTAGTCTAAAGCAACACCACAAGACTTTACCTTCCCAAGGTAACTACAACAGATAGTCTTACTTTAGGGCAGATAAGATTTAATGAAGGTAAGTGGGAAGTAGACAAAGAAAGATATTGAGCATAGGGCTTAGTTTATGAAAAGTATTTCTGAAGGACTGTAGAGGATGCCTTAGGCAGCCAAGCGGAGACTTGGTACTTTTGGGAACTTGGGGTGAACAGGGTAAAAGAGAAGAGAACAGAAAGATGGTTAAAAAAAAAAAAAGAGAGAGCACTTTGTTCCCTTCCTAAGTTTTTCCAAGGCAGGTGTCTCAGGAACATCTTTCCTCACCTACCAGGTGGTCAGGATGGACAGAAGAACCAATATAGAGACCAGGAACTTTCCTAACACTTCACTGAATTGTTTGGTATAAACATAATTCCATGCTATTCCTTTATTAACTGTTATGTACACAGGAGAATCAAAAAGGAAGACAGGTTTGGTATGGACATCTATAGTATCATAGCAAAACAGCTTATTTATATGCAGCAGTTTCTGGGAGCTCCCTTTTGGTCTTGTGGGAAAAGTACGTGGCTGAAATTCAGGAGAATTAAGCTGCCAGCCCAGTTCTGACACTACTTTCTAAGACTTCTGGAGGGCAAGATATGTAATCTCTTTGGCCTCAGTTTCCTCAACTGTAAAATGAGATTTGATCAGATGATTGTTAAATCCCTTCTAGTACTAAAATTCTATAACTCCAGACGCTGCATCAGAAGCCCTCATCTTCCACCAAATAGTTCCATGACTTTAGGCGAGCTTCTTAATACTGTGTGCCTTCATTTAACCTTAGGAGTTTTCAGATATTATTATGGATTTAGCTCCGGTGCTCACCCTGGGGGGTAAAACACCATCACCAACCTGTTGACAGTGCTGCGTGCATTGCATTTACTGAATTGCCTAATTCCACCTGCTGCATTTTAGGGTCAGAAAAGTGAGAAGCACTTTGCTATCTCCAGGAGAAAATTACTATGATGAATATATTCTTGTAACAGTTTGGTGGAACTGTTTTTTCTCACTCAAATCATTTTCTGAGGAAGATGAATACCATCTAAGGGTATCAGAGTTGAATACAATAATTTCCAGACAAGCTTTTACTTGGTGCTTCTTGGCATCTGCCCATATGGTATTTTGGAGAATCATTACATCTGAGACAACAATAGGGACAATAAGAGGGTAAATGTGATTGATCTACTTAAAAGTGAAGATTACTGCTACCCTTTCATTTTGCTGTCTACATCAATTGCACCAGAATGTGAAATGATGTCAACGAGAATTCCTGACAGCTATAATTGTGGACATTCACTTATATCCTAAATGACTGATGATCTATACTGTCTTTTAGTTTATATTGGAATAAAAGTGATTTTTCAATGAAAGTGAATCTTGCTTTTTTATTTAAAGAAATTGTTTCTTCTAGTAAGAAAACAAAAATTTACAAAGCATAAATTATTGTGATTGTTTTGGTAGCAATAACTTAGGTTTCTCTGTTTGGAGTAAATGTATTTGGTTCTGTGAACCAAGGAAATTGTGCAGAATTAAATAAAACAAATAACAGGAGGTTGGATTTAGTAATTTTTGCAAACTTAGTGAAGAAAATATGGTGCATTTAATGCTATTCTTTCAAACAATGCTATTCTTTTGAATCGACCAATTGTTCTCAGTATGGGTGATTTTGGCATAATAATAAGATAGACGCTATTGGGATCTAGTGCTAAGGACACTGTTAAACATCCTGCAATGCACAGGACAGCCATACAGCATAGAATTCTCTGGCCAAAATATCCATAGTACTGTGGATGAGAAACTCTGATTTAGACCAATCAGAGTAACCAAAGACCATCTGATGTAAGACTACCATCTGGCAAGATGTCCATGTTTGGCAGCTTTCCTCAGGTTTTGAGAGACTCAAGGCCGTGCCACAAAAAAGACAGCTTGCTTAATGGTCTTTGCTGCCTGGTGGTTGTATAATTGCACTGGACATTGACAGAGATTTAACCTATGGAAAAGGACCTATCAAGAAGCTGTAAGAACCACACTGACTTCAAGGAAAGATAAATTTTTTTCCATGAAATAGCTGCATCAAACAGAGAGGTTTTTTGTTTAGAATAATGTTTACTCTGCTTCTTCCCTTAGCTCCTTGGGAGAGAAACATTGGGAGCAGGCAACAAGGCAAAGCAAAAAGTCAAGAGCTAATTATAGACCAGTAGCTATGAATAGAGAGTGAGCAACTTATGCCAAAAAACCACAATGATGTTGTGATTTCAATCACACTTTCGAACTCCTAACATATTTGCATTTTGTGAGTGTGTGTAATTTCTGATATATGCTTTAATTTATCAGTAAATGCATAGGTTTTAAAGTAGTTTAAGCGTTTCTCTAACAACTTTAATATTTATATTTCAGCTGGATTTGATGTTTTAGTAACCACAAGATACAATCTAATGTATGTACGAAGGTTTTCTAATGAGAAGTGTAAAACAATAAAGATCACAGTGGTATGATAATGAGGGAAAAGTAAAATTTGAAGTGACATGAAATACAAAAAGACAATGGAGAAGGCATCTAGAAAGGGGAGAAATAGAAGTGGTTGGGTGACATAATGGCATTTCATTCCTTTTTAAAAAAATTTTTTTTATTTTAAAGATGTGGGGTACAATTCAGGGTTAGGTATACAAATGTTCCTTATGCAGGTACCCTTGTTGATGAGGTGTGTCCCCCTCTCCCTGTAGTTTCCATCAACTGCTGATCCCATTCATTGTGGCATTTAAATGGCTGTCCCAATACCACTGTGAAATGACATGGTTTCAGTACTCAATAGGAGGGTTTAGAGGAAACATCACGGGAGCGAGAAGGAGTAGATAGGAAGTAAGGGACAAGGAAATTCACATTGTACTGCCACTGGGAGATTCTATTTGGCTAGATAAGAAGGCTTCAATTCATTTTTATTTTGTGATTCTAGCTTACCTCAACACAAGAGTAATCAACAACTATGGTTAAGCAGTGCTTTTTTACCTCATTCCTTTCTTCATTGAATATTGTCTGCTTATTTCTTACTGGTTCCTTTTGTAGGTCAATGCAATCACCATGGAAGTCCTCCAAATTCAGATTCAGCTTTAAGACGTTGCCCTGCTGTACAAAGCAATGGTTAGTGAAAGCCTGGGCCAGGAAAGTTGGAGGAACAGTGCCATACACTAACTACTTGGAAGAAAATATAGACCACTTGCAATCTTTCAGCAAATGTGTTCCACAAGAGACTGATGTACTCCCAGGATGTGATTTATAAAATTATCCCTCCAAGCTCACAGTTTCCCTCCTACCTCACTCCTTTGATAAAGTTCATTGCTAGTAAAATTGGTTGTTCAAAGGCCCAGCAGGATAAAAGTAATTGTTATAATAGGATGCTCCTGCAGGAGTGTTCTCTAGAGAAAAGAATCATTCTGCATTGCAGTTTAAACCATTAGGAGAGTCCAGGGAGCAGCAATGAGGTAGAAATGATTAAAGGTCTCTAGTGGAGAAGAAAGTAGGCAATCCAGAGAATCTACACAAGCACAATGTTTGGCAGACTCTTGAAAAGAGGAAGGAAATATCACTGAGTATGGTAAAGAAAAACAACAATTGAGAACACAGCATGCTTCATGTGGGTGATGACACCTCATTCCTTCATTTCATGGGGCTCAGTTTTAGTCATGGAGGTAGTGGGTGTCTAAAACTGCTATGGAGCCAGTGTAAGGGCTGAGAAGACTTTGTGAAAGTTAAAGGAGCCACTGGTAGCCCAAATGATACAGCACACCAGTTTAGGATGATAATACTGCAACAGACACTCTATTCCACCTGGACACAGTCATTAGGTAGGTCTTTAAAAACAGGCATGCTCATCAAAGTACATGTGTGATAGTGACTTGGAGGATTCAGGGAGACAAGTTGCTGGGAAGACACAGCTTTTAGTCTCAACTCTAAACCTAAACTGGTTTGTATCACTGGATGAGTCACTTTGCTTTGATACCCACTTGATATCTAATTCCAAAATGACAGCTGTTGTGGAAAGAACACGAGTTTGAATTAGATCTCAGTTCAACTTCCAGATCCACCACTACTGACTGTTGGGCCCCAGGTAAAACACTTTTACTCTCTTTGGATGAGTCCCTTCACCTTTAAAACAAAGAAAACAACATTTGTCTTATTTCCTTCTCAAGGTTATTTGGAAGTCACTGGAGATAATGTATAAGAAAGTCCTTTGTAAATTTCAAATTTCAAATTGCTATATATTAGAAAGAATTTCTAGTATATAAATTCTAGAGAGGAATCACTAATTCAGGCTTGACAGAGGTTGCTGGGTCCACTTTGACAACTCCTAAGAGGAGAGTGATAGGCCCAACCTTAATAACATAAAAACTAGACATTTATGCTTTTCATACAAACATCTGTGAAGTGTCAGCATTGATAAGCTTTTATTACAGCTGTAACTCATAAAGATAATACTGTTGCCTATTTCTTCTGCCAGAGAGGTCTGTCCTCATTTCTATATTCACTCAAATCAAGCTACTGAATGATTCTTCTTCTCTGTACCAATCCTTTGAGCATTTACTCAAAATGCCAAAACTCTTTCTGGAGAAGCTGCTTCAAAAAGCAAAGCATAGCATTAAATGTTGCATGGGACGCAACATTTAACTGGGCAGAGCAAAGGAGTTTCCTTCAGTAGATTGAAGTGGGGTAGTTGGGATGACAAAAATAGTTATATGTGATAATTATGGTAGTGCTGTGGTCAGAATGGTTATGTTCTTCCTAAATATATATGTTTAAGTCCACAGCCCCAAGGAGATGGTATTAGGCGGTGGGGCCTTTGGGAAGTGATTAAGTCATGTGGAGGAAGCCCTCATGAGTGGGATTAGTGTCCTAATAAAAAAGAGGCCTGAAGCAGATCTCACTCATCCACCATATAAGGTTAGGGTGAGATGATAGCTGTCTATGAGGAGGTCCTCGTCAGACGCTGAATCTAATCTGCCAGAACCTTGATTTTTGACTTCCCAGTATTCAGAACTGTGAGAAACAAATTTCTGCAGTTCATAAATCACCTAGTTGATGGTATTTTGTATAGAAACCTGCATGAACTAAGACAGGTAGGAAAGAACACAAGTGCTGTGGGAACTCAGAGAGGGAGTGTAACAGCTAAGGAAGGATTTATGGAGACGGCACTACTTGAGTTTGGCTCTGGAAGATGGTAAGATTTCAGTAAACAAAGACAGAGGTCATGGATTTGAAATGAAGGTTTAGAAGTAGGAAATCCCAGGAGAACAGAGAGGGACCCAAGGTAACTGTTCTAGCATAGTGATTTGGAAAGGTGACCAGCCAGCCTTGGGATATTGGAGGGCTTTGAGTGGGAATTTGACTTGGTAAGCAATGAAGAGTTTGTACTGACAATTTTTTAAAGACAGGGTCTCACTCTATTGTGTAGGCTGGAGTGCAGTGCTGTGATCCCAGTTCACCACACCACGGCCTCAACCCCAACTTCCTGGGCTTAGGTGATCCTTCTGCCTCAGCCTCCCGAGTAGCCAGGATTGCAGGCACATGCCAACACTCCTAGCTAATTTATTTTTTTTATATTTTGTAGAGACAAGGTCTTGCTATATTGCTGAGCTTAAGAGAGTTTCCTGCCTCGACCTCTCAAAATACTGGAATTACAGGTGTGAGCTACCATACCCCACCTGTAGTGAAGTACCTTGAATGACACTAGCAAAACTGTATTTAAGGGTTATCTTGCTGATTGTATAATTAGGAGACTCCTGACTAGTGCAAAAGAGATTCCAAGTGATATGTTGACCATGAGGAAGAGAGGGTACAATCCTGACTAGAGGGAATTTGGAAGGAATGGGAAACAAGGAAGTGGGGAAAGGCTGGAAAACAGCTCTTTCAGGAAGAATAGCCATATCGGCAAAAAGCTGAAGAAGGATATAACTTGGAGAGAGTAGATTTTACTAAGCTGAATCTCACTTGAAGATGTGCAACATAAACGGGATAGGTGATAGAGAGCAAAGAATCAGAGAAAGCAGAGATTTCAGCCTGTGTATTGGAAGTCAGGAGAAGCAGCAGACTCTTGGGGGTGGGAGGAGGTGAGGAAGAAATGATAAGTGTTGAAAAAGATAATATAAGACATATTGTTCACTACTGGGCATGTTGGCTCATGCCTATAATCCCAGCACTTTGGGAGGCTGAGGCAGGAGTATCGCTTCAGGCCAGGAGTTTAAGACCAGCCTAGAAAACATTGCAAGACCAGTCTTACAAAAATAAAAATATTAGCCAGGCATGGTGGCATGGGCCTGTAGTCCAAGCTATGTCATCATACCACTGCACTCCCACCTAGGTGACAGAATGAGACCTCAGCTCAAAAAAAAAAAAAAGATATATGGCTCATTCATATATTACTGGTGGCATTATAATTGTAAACCATAATTGTAAACCATTTATGGGAAGCAATTTAATATATGTATTTCATACATTAAAACTTTTATTTTTCTTAAATCTGCTTTGGAGATCTCATGTGTAAGTAATAATATGAAAGAAAGAAAAAGCTACGCACAAACATGTTCATTGCAGCATTATTTAAAATGCTAAAAAAGTTGAAAAATTTAGATTCTTAACCAAAGGAAAAAGATTGGTTCAGTGCCCACTGAATTAAAAGCCTACAAACTATTTGATTGGGATGGGAACACAAATTTATGACATGGAAATTCTGATCCCCCAAAAACTAGAAATAAACATAATTCTGCTCTGAACTACAAGACCACCAGTAGACCTCAATAACAATAACAATCACAAAATCATCAAGGGCATCTTCATTCAATCCTCAGGGCTACCCTGTGATCCATTCCACAGATCAGGAAACAGAGACTCAGGGAGATTAAATCATTTACTCAAGGTCACGAATCCAATAATTTGGGGAGTTGGCATCTCAAGCCAGCTGTGTTTTGTTCTAGAGCTTGTGTTCTTAATGACCTTGGTATTCTCCTCAGCCTCAATAACCAGTTCTTTCAGCCGCTGGTAAAAATAGCATTAATCGAACCAGTTTCTGGTATGACATAAACAAAGTAACATATATAACTGTTTTTTTGCCTAGGCAAAAACGTTTTCTCTATATTTTTTACCAACAACTTTTTATTTATTCCATGAAAGGTGATCGTGATGAGTTTACTATTTCTATGAGGCAAAACGTTCTGGATATAATACCTCAATATTGGTTTTATTTTCTCTGGTGTCACAATTTGAGGAAAAAAACCTGACATCTATGATTTATGAACAAAACCATATGCTACTTAATACAGACTTTACTCGGGTTTTAATGGCACACATTTATTTTTTAGGATATGATCCATGAAAATGTAAACGAGACACCTTAATTGTGTTTAGCCCTCATTCCCTGCAATATTTTTCTCTGCAGTGATGGGAAAGAAACAGAATTAATTATCAGAAACATTCAGATAATTATGTTAGAAAGCTGTGAAACAAATGTGCACATTATGTCCCTTGAGAATTTCTATTAGAACATCTTTGCACCAAGAAGACATTTGATCAACACATTTTTATTTATATCACTTGAAAATATTATGTATATTCTGGGAAGAAGAAATTACCTTCAGTTTTTCTTCAAGTTCTGTGAGAGACCCACATAATTCAGTAATAGATTCAAGAACCTCTTTGTGTTTTGCCACGATTTTCTCAACATATTTCTGCCCTTCTTCCAAACCTGGGGAGGAGAAAGGATAAAACAGTTTTTAAAGGTTAACTCCTTAGCAGGAAAAAAGAGAGTTCAAGCATTAGCTCATTTCCCAAGTTTCTGATGTAAGGGCTAGTAGATAGTAAGTTCTTATTAAAAATTTGTTAAACAGATAAATGAACAAAGGCATGTTTTGAACAATCAGGCATTCTAAAAAATTAGCTATATTTGCCATACCATGTGACTTTGATGTAACCTAAATAATGTTGCTATATTAATTTCCTTAAAGTTCAATTTTAATCAATTTCTCCTGTTCAGAACATTCAATGGTCTTTATTGCTTGGAAGTACAAATTCTTCTGGATGGCGTTCAATGACCTGCATGACTGATTTCAACCTATCTCAACAAAATGCATATCACCCTGAATCCCTCACATATTTAATCTCTCACCAAAGAGAACCAGCAGGTCTTCCCTCAAAATCCCCCAAATCCCCAAAGTCACTTGGCATTCTTTTTTATTTTATTTTATTTTTTTATTTGGAGTCTCACTCCGTCGCCCAGACTGGGAGTGCAGTGGGCCGCTCCCAGCCACTGCAGCCTCGACCTGCTGGGCTCCAGCGATCCTTCCGCCTCAGCCTTCCGAGTAGCCAGAATTACAGGCGTGCACTACCACAGCCGGCTGATTTTTAAAAAAATTTTTTTTATTGTAGAGATGAGGTCTCGCCAAGTTGCCCAGGCGGGTCTCGAACCCGTGGGCTCAGGCAATCCACTCACCTCAGCCTCCCAAAGTGCGGGATTACAGGCTGAGCCACTGAGCCCGGCATCACTCAGTATTCTTTCCTACACTGCAAATTCCCCTAATCCTTACTTCTGCCATCAGAATCTTACCTCCTCTTCAAGGCCCACCTCAAATGCTAACATTTTTGTGGAAAATGTTCTTAATCTTTCCCAACTGGATTTTATCTCTTCCTATTGAAATAATAATAAAAAATTGCTACCATGTGGCACATGATTATTATTTGCCTACAGCTAAGCACTTTATAACCATTGTCAAATATAATCCCTGGGTCTGGTCTATCACTATCCACGTGTTACAAATGAGGATCCTGATGCCCAAAAGAATATCTTCAAGTGACCCAGACAATAACTGGGGGAACCGGGATTTGAACCCAGGGCTATCTTATTCCACAGCCTAAGCCAAGTTGTATAGCATATTGTTATGGGTTAAACCCTGTTCCCTTACACTCTCAAGTTCATATGTTGAAATTCCAATACTCATTACTGCAGCACATAACTGTATTTGGAAATAAGATCTTAAGAGAGGTGATTAAGTTAAAATAAGGTCATTAGGATCTTGCTTTAATCCAATGTGACTAGTGCTCCAATCCAATGTGACTAGTGCCCTTACAAGAAGAGGGAGAGACACTGGAGGTATGCATGTGCAGAGGCGCAACCATGTAAAGAGGCAGCAAGAAGGTGGCTATCTGAAAGCCAAGGAAAGAGGCCTCAGAGGAAACCTACCCTGCTGATGCCTTGATCGTGGACTTTCAGCCTCTGGAATTGTGAGAAAATAAATTTCTGTTGTTTAAGTCATCCAGTCTGTGGTATTTTGTTGTGGCAGCCCTAGCAAACTAACACACACATTTTATACCTTGCTCACTACATTTACCATGTTATGACTTCAATGCCTAGACTGCAGTTTCCTGAATACAGAAACTAAATCTTATTTGTCTTTATATTAACCACAGCATTTAATGTGTAATGGGTATGCAAAACTTTTTTGAGACAAATGTATCTGTACAAAAATTCTGGGTTTAATAATGCTTGAGTGGCTTGCAAGAGTGACATAATCACCCTAAAGTGCCTTACTTGATGCAAACTTTAAAAATATACAACTTCTATACTGAACAGATGGAGACTTATCCCATTCATTTATTCATTCATATTATTCATTCAGTGAGTATTCATCAAATATTTGTTAGACAGTTAGTATGTGCCATGAGGCAGTATACTAACAGGAAAAACCTCTCTTTTAAGATCTTATTTCCAAATAGTTACCTTCCACGGTAATGAATGTTTATCCTACAGTGTGAAAAGTACAATAATAGAGAGAAACATGATACAATGCTATGGGAGTCGAGTGCCTCCAACATATTTAGTGCACTTATACAATAGCTACAGCAAGAAGGAGATGTCACATTAGTTTTTGTTGATTGTTTAATCTATATTTTATTCTTTTTTATGTTTTTACCCTTTTCTTTTGGAAAATCATGAAAAATTCATTCTCCATAATTTAATACTAGGTAGGGCAGCACAGTTTTCCATGGATATTGCTCATAAGAGAAAATATCTATCTGGCATTGGTCATGGACAGCCTAATAGGGCATTTTGTACCATTTGTGAATTCTTTCTGGGCTGCATTTGCAAGAGCCACTGGGAATGACTCTTGATCTCAAAGGAATGATAATAGGGAATTCATGGAACTTATTCCTCAGAGCCCTCAAGGACTGTCATCACCCAGGGACTGCTATGAGGGCCTCTTTAAGGCAGAAGCACTTCTCCACCTGACCACGAATGTATTATCTTTCCCAGTCATGGAGGAGACAAAAGCAGAATCTGTGAAATGATCCTTTAAGTTCGCCCTTTTATTCCACAAGTGAAAGGGAAAGGTAAAGAAAATTCTCCAGCTCTTTCTCAAATCCATGAACCAAAGCCCTTGTAAGAATGAGAGGGCTAGAGACCTCAGACTTAGCTTTGTGTCTAGAGTTTTGTGCGTTTTCAAGGAATGACTCTAGTGGAAGTGTGTGTGTGTGTGTGTGTGTGTGTGTGTGTGTGTGTGTGTGTGTGTGTGTGTGAATAAACTGAGTATGTTCTGGTTGTATTGCCCTGGAGATGAACAACAGGAATGGAGGAAAAAAGAGAATACAGAAGGAAGGTTTAGGCAAAGTAGTTAAAAGTCAGCAGGCTTCCTCTCCCGCTGTCAGAAGTGCCTTCCTCTATTCCCTGCTGTTTACTTTCGCAGCATGTGGGTTCTTATTTTGAGCCTGGTCCCTGAATAGGTTGGTGTACTGAGGACCCCTAGGACTTGCTGGCATTCTTGCTTTCTGCTGGATTAGACTCAGTATAGATTTGTTCCATGGCAAATCACTGGATATCTTAAAAGAGATCTCACCATATAAACACTGAGCAAGGTCAGTGGCCTCCTGAATTCTTTCTTCTTGCTGAGGCACTGAGGGCACGAGGAACTTATTGAACTGCTGGTGAAGAATGTTCACAGCTTCCTTTGTCTTGCACTCCGTGGAATATTTTCCAACTCTTACAATGGTGGCACTTGCATCTTCATACCAAAAGTGACACTAAATTTAAATAGGATAAAGCACAGATTAAAGAGACACCTTCCTCCTAAAGTTCTTAATTTTGGCCAGTGAAATATCAAATTTCTTTCTTTGTTTGTTTTTTCTTTTTTGAGAAAGCAGGATTTATTGAGAGGACAGAAAAGCTGCCACAGTGGGAGGGGACCTGAAGGAGTTGCCCTCAAATTTCAGTATCCTCAAACGTTATGTTTACATTGGTTTGAACTTTCTAAGTCATAGTAAGGAAAATATCAAAAGATGGCCATATGCTTTTGCGCTTAGATATTAGAGACAGAAATAAAAAACATAAGTAGGAAAGTACATACAGATAAAATCATAAGAAGGTAAAAATATGGAAATACATTTGATTCTCCTGTCTTCTTAGGTTTGTCTAAAATATAACAATAACTAAGAAGAATGTTACAGATAGCATAAAAAGCATTTGGCACTAAAAAGAATCCAAATATGAGCTAAATGGCAAGAAAAAAGCCAAAACACTCAAAATTCAGCCTAATGGATTGATATCATTAAAAATGCATGGGCAAAGAATAGCATAATTAATACACTAATAAATAACTTATCTTTTAAGAAAAAGATTTAGTTTATAAATGGAGGAAATATTATCCAAAAAATAGCATTTCACCTTTTTAAATAGAAGATGTATTTTCAAAGAGTCAAGAATTAAGTCAGTTTCTCACCAAAAATAAATAACTGTGATGGAAGGAATGTCTGACCCAGGCCAGAAACACTTATACTAGGTGAGAAATAGAAGCACACGACTCTATGGGAGCTGGCTTTAAATAAGTGCCACAAAGCTACAGCAAACTTATACATCAGATGTAGGAGAATTATTATCTTGATTCTCCTTAATCTGGTGTTAAATCTACAAATTCAACTATGGTAAAGGAAGACACTTTGTATCTCAGAATAACAGGCCAAAAGGGACACTCAAGAACTTCAAGTGCAGAGTTTCTTCACTATGAAGTGTGCAAATAATAACTTGTCAAATCTCATATATTTTATGTATACTCTACCACTTATCCTTTTGACAATAACAAAAAAAAATTTCTTGTGACTGAAAAACCACAGTATCATTTTTTAAAATAAATATTTTCAAATTATGTGAAATAAATAAGTCTTTCTTAGTAATTTAAACATATATCCAGTAGTGAACATAATTTCATGGTGACTAAACATCTTAAGTCGATGAGATTACGGAAAGATGGGAATTCTCATACTTGCCAGTAAGAGTAAATTAAATTAGTAAAACCTTTCTGAAGAGCAATTGGACACTACAATTAAAAACCCTATAACACTCATCCCCTTTGGTCTAGCTATTCTATTTTAGGAAATTATCCTAAAGAGAAAACATCATGAAAAGGAGCATAATACAATAATTTAATGACAATAATAGCTAATGTAGCATTGTTTTAAAGTAGCAAAATAATGTTTTTAAGCAATATTACTTGGCTCAGTGTGATAACTCTGTAATCTCAGCACTTTGGGAGGATGCAGTGGGAGGATCACCTGAGGTCAGGAGTTTGAGATCAGCCTGGGCAACATAAGGAGACCTCATATCTACACAAACAAACAAACTAGCTGGGCATGGAGGTGTGTGCCTGTAGTCTTAGCTACTAGGGAGGTTGAGGTGAAAGGATCGCCTGAGCCTGGGAGGTCATGGCTGCAGTGAGCTATGATCATGCCATTGCACTCCAGTCTGGGAAACAAAGTAAGACTCTGACTCGAAAAACAAACAAACACACACAAAAGACAAAAATCATTGCAACATGGATACCATTACAAGAAGATGATACCTCTTCTATCACCTCCTGGAGTTGCTCAGTCAGATCCAAATTCTTCTTATACTCTGTCACCACTTTGTCAAAGTCATCCACTTGTTTTTGCAACTCTTCTATGGCTTCCAAGAGGACATTAACTTTATTACTTGGATAATTTAAGAAAGAATCAGAAGTTTTATTATCAACTTTTTCCATTTTCCTTTTCAAAGCCTGAAGGGGGAAAGAAGTTGTAAACATGGCATTTAATTTTTTACATATGACACCGGTGATTACACAGTAAGAGAAAAACTTGGAAAAATGTGTGTAGCATTTTGCACTCTGATACGTTAAAATCATAATTATTACAAGTGTGTTTTGGAAAGAATTTTTTCCAGATATTTTATTGATTGCATTCTGCAAATAAATAGAAATTTTACTATCCGCCAGGGTTGTTGAGAATAAGAATATGATTTTTTTTAAAAGACAAAGATCATAAAATCAATACTTGTCTTCAATAAGCTCAGTGTCTCCTGGGAAAACATTCAAATGATCTAGTCAGTACATGATAATCTAGATAGAAATAAGAGGTTGTGAGAGAAGGGGAGGAAACTACTGATATAGCTGGTGTAAGGAAAAGAAGAGAGATGTCAAAAGGAGTGTGTGGGGGCATACATACAGCTGTGTGCATGCATTGGGGAAAAGAAGGGAAGCAGACAGGCTGGGTTAGTCTGGCAGAAGCCATTCTGGAACTGCCTCGAGGGTTACATTTATGATATATTTCACATGAAGAACTCAATTGCTATAAAAATGAAAACTACTTTTTCAGTTCCAATGCTATAAAAAACCAGAGTTAGTCATCTAGAATTGAAGTCCAAAATGATTTTGCACCAATTGTTGTACTATATGCGCATGCATGCATTCATACACACGTTCACACACCATACTTTCTTGTTACCTGCATTTTTTCAGCATACATATCAACTTGTTGTATTTGATACCTAAGAGCCTTCAGATTCCGAGTTTTTTCATTTCTCTTGGTGTAATTAAACTTCAAATTGTTGAATTTCTTTTTGATATCTTTGAACGACTCTTTAAGCTGCAGTTTAATAAAAAGAAACAGATTATTTCCTTAAAAATCTTCTTTGCAAAAGATTAAAAAATTATCGTTTACAATAAATCAAAGTACCCAAATACTTCAAAATATTAATAATCCTTTAAATGTATTCAGAGTGACTTTGAATAGAAAACAACTCTGCCAAGTGGACATAGAATGTGAATTTAAATATATCTCCCATACAAAAGTAACTATGAATTGGTTTTTAATACTTGATTTATAATTTTTAATTCAGATTATAGTTACAGAACATCCCTTTGGCCCCCCAAGCAAGAAAGTTTCTCACATGTCACACACAGACTTTCAACAACTCTAATTTTCTTATTTGTCTTTATTTGATACAATTTTCTCCCTTCATTCTGTTCTCCATATGCTAGTATTTGTCCCAGATCTTTCCACTTCTCAGTGCTCTCTTACAGCCATCATACATAAATGTATTAAGTTTCAGGGAGCTATTTTTTAGATCACGTAGAACATTGGTGAAGTGGGAGAAAAGACCCCTTATGAGATTTAGTAGGAAAATAACTTTATTTGTCCAGGTAAAAAGTGTTTTTCGTGAACAGATTCCAAAAGAGTTTGACTTAGATATAGGCCATTAGCTTCAGAGATCCTTCAAAAACAAAAAAGTGAGAATAGTTGTCAATAATTGCAATGCTAACTTTTGTATAAGCAAAGAATGTGGCTATATATTGAGGACAGATTACAGATTATAATAGTCTTAAGGACAGTTCAACTTTACCAGTGCACCAACATTCTAAAGCAGTCCAGTTCCATTATATGCGCCACTTTTTGCTCCTTCTCTACATCGAAGAAGGATAAGCACATCTAAAGGCAATTCTCTTTGTTTTATCAACAAAGAGAGCACAGAGAAAATCTCACATCATATGGGAGCATTCAACAACAAGAGTGAACAATGTCATGGCTGATAAATTTGAGCTATGATAAGAAAAGTCAGAAAAACATTAAAATTATTTTCAATGACAGTAAAGAAACTATTTCAGAGGGAATAATGACTGTGCATGTGCTAGATATTTGACTTGTAATGCAGGAAAACATACCTGCCCTAGAAAATGCATGCTTTCTCGAAATGCTTATTTCAAATTCTGCATATTATGAAAATAAAACCTTAACCTTATCCTGAACACTTCTTAGAGACATCATCTTTATGCCCTAGCAGACTTGTGCACATGGAAATTATTATACTGATGTAATTTTTGTATCTGATACACTTAATCAGTGTTGTTTATTTTATATGACAAATGAAATTGTTGAACATTATTTTTAAGTTACAAACTAAACCAAGTACAGAGACCACATAAATCATTTTAATGGATAAATCAGTAATGTTCAGAAAGAGTAGGGAGTTATAGCTTTAAAATTTGAAAATTATTTCTCTATTAGAACTCAGGATATTTAAAAGATCATATTTGGCTGATATATTTATGAAATAACCAATAAATATTTACATTCTATGACACTCAATGTTTTAACATGCATGTGTTTGATTTCAGCAGAAAAGAATAAATAAGGTCAATTTGATGAGTCTGAGATATAAAGAGATGATATCCTTAGTTATTCACATATAATTTTGGCAGGAAATTTTTTTTCCAAAGTCATAATCTGAAACTATAAGTGTTATAAGTACCATGTCTGATTAAATCAGACATTCTTGTTTTAAAAAACATCTACTCCTTTTGTCCCCTCTCCTACCTTGGGGCGGTGAATCCCCTCCTTCTCTCTCTCTCACCAATTTACTTTCTAAATAAACTACATTTTCTAATCTAAAAAAACAAAACAAAACAAAAATCTACTCAATAGTTATGGTTTAATAAAAACAAATTTCTTTTTGGGATGATGAAAAAGTTCTGCAAATGGATAGTGGAGATGGTTACACAACAATGTGAATGCACTTAATACCACAAAACTAGCTGGTTAAGCTGGTAAATTTTATGTTATGTGGATTTCACCACAATGCAAAAGAAAATAAGGGTGGGGGGAGAAGGGCCTGTCACTGACATTTACCCACTGGAAAATAAAAGTGTATGTTCTTATTTTTCTCTACTGAAACATGACATACTTGTATATGGTAAAACCTCAGTCTAGAGAAAGCAAGAGGGGCTCTGTCATTAACCTAATAACCACTGGGTCACAACGGCTTGTTTAAGTGTGAAAGTGTTATGTGTATTTGAAAACTATATTATAAAGAAATCCTGAGATTTAACACTTTAATTCTAAACCATGAGATTTTAAGTCTACATTGGATTGAGAAATTTAAGACTGACAAATGATGAGTGTGATTTTATTTCTGTTTGCTTCAGAATGTGAACACTTCCACTGAAGATGATTTATAAGGCCAAAGAATGTTCATGACGCTATGGGTATGTGAAATGGGATCAGCTTCTTTCTGACACATGAGCTCCCCTGACGCAGTTGCTGGCACTTTTCTCTTTTGGTTTCAATGGAAATCCATTTTAACCCTAAATTCCTGTACCTTTTCCACTCAAATTCAGGACTATTACAGATACAAGTGGACAGCCATAGGCATGACCTAGCAATGGAAGAATCTACCATACTTAGTTTTCTCACCTGCACTTTCCTATATGAAACATTTAACTTCCCATCTAATCCTCACATATTTCGTAGTGACATTTTTTAAGGAATCAAGCGCCATGGTTGCTGGGTTATGGTATCATTGTCATGCAGCTGTTTCTAACTTTAGTTAGCTTGTCAACAATGGAGAATAGTGGGATGGCTGAGACAACTGCTCGACTTGAGAACATAGAAGAAAACACCTTATGTTGGGACAAGAAAAAAATGTTATCTTACTACAAATCTTTAAATGTTGTTATAATTCATATTAATAAAGTTTCTGAAAGTCTCAAGAACATTAGGAAAAAGATATTTTTTCTAATGAATAATTTGATTTTCCTTTCTTTCCACTTGCTCAGATCTTCCATGTTTACCATAGAATTATCAGACTAAATTAACATAGCTGTCATTAGAAAAAAATGAGTAAGATTTTAGAAACGGAGATATTTGAAACTAGCAGAATAAGCATCTTCGCCAAATGTTCCAATAAGCCGTAAGCCCCCAGTCAGGGTTAGGAATAAACAAGGCTTCTTTGGGATACAGCAGAAGGGAAAGGGCTGATGACAAGTGAGGTTGGCTTGCTATTCTTAGTCTTGACTAAGCTGGTTGAGGCAGGTTTGGCCCAAGAATGTATTACTGGTAAGCTTGTTGTTGGCAAGACCAATTTGTGTGAGGGACATGGGACATTTTAAAACAGATAAAATGCATTTAAAAAGAAAGCCTTTCATTAGAACCTTGGCACATGTTTGACTAGAAGCAAAAAGTATGAAATGAGTGGTCAGTATTCATAATGTTTACTTCACAACGTCTTTTCTTGCCTGCCATTTTGTCCATTCCAGAAAAAAGCTTTCTGATGTCCATTTTCAGTAACAAAAGGCTGTAAAGTTATTGCCTCCTAGGAATGCTGTGTTTCAAGTCAAGAGACCAAAGATTCCGAATGTAACTCAAATAATTTGCTGCAACTACTAACAGTAGAATATTCAGCGTTAGTACTCGAGAGATTTCAGGATAAGCCTTTCTTGGCCTCTTCCCATTCGGCAACCACAACGCTGTCGTCCTGTGCTGGGTGTCAGTCTCGTAGAGACTTGGAAGGAGAAGACAGTTGCTCCACCTTAAATTGTAGGTAGCAACAGATCCCAGAAATAAATATTGTATCCATTCTGCGTGCTTCACATCTTCATAATATATTTGTTAAGTTTTACTTGTTATAGTTTCTAGACATGGTAACTATAAGTTTAAAATTTAGATCTCTATATTCTCCTGCAAGATCCCACAGAGCAATTTTGCTAATGTTAAACAAGAAGATTTTAAGGTTTTAACCCTGTGGGATGGACATGTTCAGAACAAATTTCTTTCTTTTTTTTTTTTTTTTTTTTTTGAGTTGGAGTCTCACTCTGTCACGCAGACTGGAGTGCAGTGGCCACTTCCGGCCACTGCAGCCTCGGCCTCCTGGGCTCCAGCGATCCTTCCGCCTCAGCCTTCCAAGTAACTGGAACTACAGGAGCGCACTACCACGCCCGGCTCATTTTTTTATTTTATTGTAGAGATGAGGTCTTGCCAAGTTGCCCAGGCGGGTCTCAAACCCACGGGCTCAAGCAAACCACTCACCTCAGCCTCCCAAAGGTGTGGGATTACAGGCTGAGCCACCGAGCCCGGCTCAGAACAAATTTCAGTATTTCTTATTCTCTTATTTGTATCACCCAAATGGACCCAGGATGAAGCCCAATAGACAAATAAATGTCTGTGACTATGAAGCATCATGGTTTGTTTGTTTAGTTGTTTTTTGTGTTTGTTTGTTTTGAGACAGGGTCTCATTCCATAGCCCAGGCTAGAGCACATTGGTGGGATCGTAGCTCACTGCAACCTCAACCTCCTGGACCCAAGCAATTCTCCTGCCCCAGCCTCCTGAGTAGCTGGACCTACAAGCACATGCCACCACACCCAGCTATTTTGCTTATATTATTATTATTATTGTTATTATTATCATTTGTAGACATGAGGTCTGTGTTGCCCAGGCTTGTCTTGAACTCCTGGCCTCCAGTGATCCTTCAGCCTGAGCTTCCTGAAGTGCTGAAATTATAGGTCTGAGCTACTGTACCTAGCCCACTCCACAGGCTATAATTCTCCCTAGACTCTAAGTTCCCTGAGGACATTTGCATTCCTATGGAGTGGCACACAATAGCCACATTAAAGCTGCTTGCTGAATCAAGATAACGTAGTCTTTTTTTTATTGATTAATTTGGGTTTGTATCTGGAAAATAATTATTATCTGTTCTATATCATAATACTGTTCCATCGGGTGTTTTTGCCATCTATACAAACTCTTTCTTTGCTTTCTTTCCTGTGAGTGGGTGGCTGCCCCTGGTCATTTTGTCATTGGCAAAGCCCTATAC